ATAACAGTCAGAAACCTTTCAATCTGGTAGTTTTGGTATTAAGATTAAATTAGACATTAATGGTTTTCATCTAAAAACGTATAAACTAAACCACCTCTTTTATTTTATGCATTAAAAACAATGAGGTAGGCACAAAAAATAAACATACGTAGTTTGGATTTTATTTCTTTTTTTTTTTCTTTTTTTAGTTCTGCGAGTGCAGACTGTGGTAAAACTGTTGTTGCACTTCTAGGTTTAAACAAAAATTAAACCTTTAACTGAGGCAGTGCTAATACTGTGACATAACCAAGTTCTGGCCTAACACAGAATCATTATAGAAAATGAATTTTTTTTCCTTTTTTCTTTTTTTTTTTCTTTTTTTTTTCTTTTTTATCATCTGCACATGTTTCAGGCAATACCTGGTACACAGAAAATGACTAAGTTATTGGCCAGGCCAAAATAAAACTGCAGAAACAAAAAAAAAACCCCAAGAATTCCACCCCGAGCCCCTTCCCACCCTCCCTGTCCCCAAGAAGAAGTTATCCTAGTCACTGTGTCTTTCACATTTTATAAATATTAACTTCTTAAAACCTCCACCTTCCTCTTTGTCCACATATTGTCACATTACAAAAAAGAAATGTCAATTAAATACATTGTTAACATCACTAGACTAGATCTGCCCTCTGTTTCAGCCAGTCTGACTCTCTACACCCCTTCTCACCTTCTCCTGCCTGCCTCCTGTCCGCTCAACAGCATGTTCACGGTAAATCTGGGTTGGTTTGGTTTGTTTTTTTTTTTTCCTTTCCCCTCCCGCCCCCCTCTGTTTTAACACTAACAAACAGAGTCCTTCAAAGCCTAGGAATCCTGGAGCTGAAGGGAAAAGAAGACCTGTAGCTTTCTAGCATGATCCCAAATCTCAAAGACATTGTAGCACCTGATGGCAATATCTTTACAGCACCAGCTGCGTCGCAGCCTCAGTTGAAAAACAAAAAGAAACCTAACACCAGTGATGCCTGCACACACATTTACACAGAGTGCTGCACTAGTGCAGGTCTGTACTCCAGTTGAAAATAATTCCGAGTTATGAAGATCTCAGACTCTGGATGTCAGCAATTCCTCGCCAAATCCCACTGCTTCTACCAGCTCAGAAGAGAAGTCCTGCCAAGGGTCATGAAATAGACTTGACTGCTTCCACCCGACCGTACGGAGGCAAAGAAAACCTGTGGAGAAAGGAGATTGGTAAATTCAACAGGTAGGACAGCAGAGGCTTTAATTTGCCTTCGCTGCCCCCGATATATACGGTGCAATTACAGTGCTGTGCTGGGTCTGGTGGGGACGGAGTTGACTTTCTTCATAGCAGCTTGTATGGAGCTGGGCTCTGCGTTTGTGGCTAAACAGTGTTGTTAAGACACCGGCATTGTGGCTGCTGCGGAACAACACTTGCACCGTACCAAGGCTTGCTCTCCGGCCCCTCAACTGGGCTGGGGATGGGCAAGAGGCTGAGAGGGGACAGTGTCAGGACAGCGGACTCAAACTGACCAAAGGGATATCCCATAATGTATAACGTCATGCTCAGGGAAAAGGAGAGGATGGGGGGACATCATGGCAATGACAATTATCTTTCCAAGCAAGCATTATGCGTACTGAAGCTCTGCTGCCCGGGAAGTGGCTGGACATCTGCCTGCCAACGGGAGGCTGAGAATGAATTCCTTATCTCGCCTCCTTTTGCTGTCCTTATTGAACTGTCTTTGTCTTGATCCATCAGTCTTTTCGCTTCCCTTCTATATTATCCCCATCCCACAGGAGAGGGGAGTGAGCGAGAGGCTGGGTGGGTGTTTGGCTGCTGGTCTGGGTCAACCCACCACAAGTACCCGGTTAAAGTACACATTTACCACCTTGGCAAGAAACTACCCGGGGGGGACGAATTATACCTTGTCATTGCGTTCGCATAAGAACTTGAGTCTTTGTGCCCTTTTGTGCATGAACACACCGTCCAAGTGTCCAGTTTCCACCGATCGTATTTCGATAGCTTTTTCTCCCCAGCCCATAATCTGGTTGGATCGGATGTACGCTTTGGAAAGAAAACACAGCACACACAGCCCATGAGGACAGGGAGAGGGCAACACGGAACAACGGAAAAAAACAGAGGAATATACTGACGCACTCTAGTTAAAAATGACCTGCATGTACTTATTATAACTACACACATGTTCACAGTGCTATTTCTGTCTTCAGCATCTTCATGACGCCTTAAAATACCTTCTTTCTTTTTTAATGTCCCCGTGGGTTTTCCACATTAGTAATGTACGTCTTGCCTGAGCATTCATGACACAATGGGAACCTTCCAACCTTCAATTAAATAGAAGGAACATCGCGTTTTCACACAGGCTTTTTCTCCCAAGTGTGTCAAAGAGACAGGCTAATGAGCTGTTGACAAGAAGAAAGCAGAACCCAATGTTTAAATAGACTAAAGCCATCCACTCCAGCATGTCCCCAGCACCAGCTCTGTGTCCCATGGTGTTATTTCCTCTCCTTGAAGGAGTTTGACAGCAAAAACAGAGAAAGAGGAGAGGGAAAGGGAAAACTAGAAAAAAAATGAGCTAGCTTCCTTTAATAGGAGTAATACTTTAAAAAACTGATCTCCTTGAGAAAGCCAATTGGTCTGAAAAGCATTCTGTGTATCTCAAAAGAGGTCCATATTAAGCTCTCCAAGTGAAAATACTATTATTTCACAGAATGGTTTCCTTTGGGCAAAACAAAGCAAAAAATTAAGCATTTTTCCTTAAGAGCATCACTGGAGGAAACAGATTAGTAGTAGCATGAGGAAAAAAATCTGTTCTTGATAGCTGTAAAAAAAAAAAAATCAAATAAAGGAGAAAGTCACCAGCATTATGAAAAGGTATATTCAAAAAGCAATTTGATGGATACTCTTAGGAACGCTGCCAAAAATAACATATGGGAACTTGATGAAGAATAAGCTGTTGCCTCTGATTTGCATGCGTACTTAACAGAAAAATAAAAAGAACAATAACTCTTAGCAAGCAAAATTTAAAAATATTTAATTCTGCAGTACTTCCCATTTATAGTTTTTTCTCTATTAATTTTCAGTGAAATTAAATCAAATTACCTACTACAGTATAATATACACCTATACATTGCATATACCAGCATGCTGAAAATCTATTTATTTTTAAATATGTTACTAGTGGTAACTGGGCCAAATAGCTTCTAAAAATTGTCAGATGAGATGTTCAGATGGCGTTGGCTGCCTCAGTGGCATTTATTTCACAGGCACTCCAGCCCCCAAAGGCTCTGCAATTTGCCAGCTGATAAATCCTGCTTGCTTTTTAACTCTAGTCAAGAGTTAATCACCACAGGAGTGAGCATGCTGTGCATGAAACTTGTTTAAATTTCCTCCTCCATTATGGTTCACGTTGCTCGAACAGCTCTCAGCAGTAATCTCCTAATACACGCATCCATTCCAAAGCACACAAACCCAACGCATTTGCCCGAAAGGAAGGTGTGAGCACAGCCCATGCTACACTCGGCACTGAAATACGGCAGCACAGGCAGTAAGAGGGATCCTCTGGTGTGTACTTGCGTCCGTAACAAATCTGTGCCCGTTTTACTACACTCATTGCTCCCACTCTCAAAACTACCTTATTCTGAGCTGGAGAGATGTGAGAGAATTATCATGCTAGGATAGATGAGCAATCTGGAGGTGAATTAAAGTAAATACATCAAGTCAGATATACAGACTGTTATCTCTAGAGAATTACCCATAATAATATCTTACCCACCTGCCACCTTACATGTCTTCCTACTGAAAGGCTTCCCCAACTTTGTGGATGTGTAGCAAAAATTCTGCAGCAGCCTACAGAGGCCCTGGTGAGTTTTTAATTCCTGAATTCTACAACTTGCTTGTTTGGATTTTGTTCTTAAAAAACTCAGCAGAAAACAGATCTATATGATTACTCTCCAGTTTGTGCAGATGTTTTCCAGGAACATTACAGCATTGCTGCTCCTGAATCTGACGTCAAACCTGACGCACCTTCCTTCTGTCTGCTTGCACACACTCACGCTCCCTAACGGCACATTGTATTTGACTCTGTCGAGGCACTTACCAACTGAAGTTGGCATCTCTCCCCACTGCAGAACCACATCCTTGGTGATCCTTCCATACGTGTTGACGTAAACTCCTTCATCCTCGTAGCAGACCAGTAGCTCCATCCCATCCGTGTTTGGGAGAATGATGATTGCGTGAGGTTGGATACTGCTCTGGATCTGCAGAGACGGAAGAGAAGAGGAAGCCTTGTGTTTTAATGCCACAGAGCCTGCACTGGGAGAAAAGGTTGGGTGGTTTTTTATTTTGGCTGATGACAGAATGTCGGGGATTCACTCACTTTCCAAGTGCTAGCTCTGCTCTCCCCAAGCTAGACACCCTTCCACAGTGACAACAAAGACCTGGAAACCTTAGGGGCACAAATGCTCCCATCTTAAGGCAGGCATCTAAAGATAATAAAGATTAACTTGTGTGTAGAGCTGCTCATTTCTTTCCAGGGGCAGAAGGGGAGCCTGGAGCAAGCAGCGCAGATGCAGACCTCAGACCTCTGCACTGCAGTGAATAGTGCTTGTGGCAGAGCATCACACACTACAGGCCCATCTGACACCTCTGTGTACAATGAACGACGGGAAAATTTGGGAGCTAAGGCCATCTGGCCTTTGCCAACCCTGCTGAAACTCATCAGCGGGCTGTCACATCATTTGTACTGCCACCTTTCCCGCGGCCTCTGCAATGTACTTGGCCATTTAGCTGCTACCCCCGAACCAGTCATGTTGGCCCATGTCACACCTGGGTGGGCAGCTCCCAACCATGGAGACATCCTGACCACGAGGAGAAGACAGAGAGTGAGGCACAAGCCCCTAAGTACAGGTGGCCACATCTGCTCAGACCCCTCCACCCAATTTACCATGCCAGCAGTGATACACAGGGGCAGCCCGATCTGTTGGTCATGTGAGGAAAGGAAGGGTCAAGGGCGAAACCAGAAAAGGAAGAAAAACCCCCACCCCAGCAGCAGCTCTTACATGTGTTGGTAAATAAATATCATAGACCGATCCTGAATCCACATCAACAGCATGGAAGCCAGCGCAGGAGCCATAGATCACTTTTAGTCTCTGACCCTCTTCTACGGTTAGATCCACGAGTAATGGCTTATGTACCAATTCTCCAAACGACTGTAAGACAACCATCAGTGAGATTTACTTTACTGCTTAGAACCATGGCGAGTTTTCTAAAAATGTACTCTAATGCACCTATTATGGGTTTATTCCTCCTGCACACCTCTGGCCTTCATCCACCAGACCAGTTAGGCTAACGTGTCTCTTGTGGACAAGGACAAATCACTCTGCACCCTGTTGCATTTCAGTCACATAATATTGTAAGCTATTTTCTGCAGGGGTTTACTTTAGTTGGTTTGTTTGTTTTTTAGTAAGAATTGTTTCCTCCAAAGTTCAGGGCGATTTGACGCTCCTGTAAGTGTTGAACTTCAATTTGCACAACCAGCAGTAACCGATCGTCTGCAAATCAGTTTGGTAATTATACCAAGCCAGCTAACTTCATTCCTCCTGCATTCAAAAAAATAACAATGCTGAGTATCATGCAATGACTTGTTCTGCTCAGATGAAGATGTTTAGACTTGGTTCACTTGTCTCTGCCTCATGTTTTATTTATAGAGAGGTGAAACAAACAGTTGTGTCATTTTGATTATTTGTTTATGCTCAGTTACGATTTAGAACGTTAAGTGTACTGCATCTTTGAGTTAAAGAAGCTCCTAAATTAAAATGTAATACAAAGTTCATGGCAGATTTACCAAAGAATCTGTAATACAGCCATGATAAAATGTTTGAACATTTTTGTAAAAGGGGTAATTGCAAGTGTTCTATGAGAAAATTCTGAAATATACTGTTACCTTAAAGGCCATAAATTTATGGTATGGCTTTGGTGCCCATGCATAGACTTCCACAGAACTCTTCAATGCAATTACCAAGAACTTGATTCTTTCATATTTTACTGAAATTAAAACAAAACAAAAACGAATTCAGCAGCGATTCCAAAGTCATTTCAGTTACTTCAGGAAAGCAGAAAATGACAATATTTCTCCATGCTTACATACATTTGGAGGTTTTTGCATTTTAGGATTGCTAATTCTACATAGTTAAGTATTTTGACACATTTACACCACACAAAAAAATCATTACTCTCATCGGTAGCTGAACCCATCACCATGTTTCGAATTACCTAATCGGTACACACTTATTTACACTTTTTTTCCCCACATTAGACAGTGCTTACTCATTAAGACAAGAAAATTGGTTTTCAGGCAGGGACATTTCCAATAAAAGAAGTCTATGGCTGTGGTAGAGTATATTGGCAGTTCCAGTCACAGCACTGGCAGTCGTATTTTGAGCTGACGGTAAAATTCCCGAGGGGAAAGGAGGGAAAAAAGGAACTGAAATGAGAAGTTAAGAAACAAGTCCATTTTAAAAACAAAAGGCAAGTTTGATAGCGCACTTTCTTTCGAAAGAGCACTTTCCTTTTTCCGTAAAGCCTGAGATAACTCATCTGGAAAAAAAAAATCATCACAGAATTTACCAGAGATAAAGTGTCATGACATAGCTGATCCACAAATTCTCGAATATATTTCTGTTCCCACATTCAAACAGCTGACTAAATTAGCCATCAAAAAAAGCTCTGTTCACTTCTTCTGTTTTCAGGAGGGGACTGATAAAGTCTAGAAATGGCCATTCACAAAGTGCCACTGGATCTACATTTCCAGCTGCCATCTGGACTTGGGAAGGAACAGATCATGAGGACTTCCAAATGTTGAGGTTTGTTGATCTCTTTCCAGCACTCTTTTTTTTGGGGGGAGAAGAAAAAAAAACCCCAAAACATTATTTGGATGACATCGAGAAACCTTAGGAGGTTTCTGCTACCTCTTTACCCCAAGTTTTAGGGGAATATCCCACTTTTCCAAAACAGTAATTCCTTGCACCTTCACCTTCTGCGATCTCCCAACCAAAACTGATTTTGAAACAGGACTGAAAACCTCAGACTTGTGAGAAGAACACTTCTTTAACAAATACTATTTTAATGCCTTTTAGATATCTTACTACTGTACAAGCCTGCAGTTGTTATCTCTTGGTAGGTAACAGGGAGACAAAGCTACTACTTGCTCCCTTTTGACTCTGCAGGGAAGTGAGAGTACTGAACTGTAAGTGTTAAAGGACTTGATGTTTTTTCAACAGACAAAAAAAAGTCTCTCAACCTCCACAGCTGTACTGACTGAAAAACAGAGCTTTTGTTCAGTCTTGTCTAGCTTACAAGACTTCTTGGAATTTTTTTCTCAGGGAAGAGGGGGTTGTTGAACAGAACTACCTTATCTGTGAAAGGGGACCTTTGATAATCCTCATTCTTTGCTCTGGGTGCTATCTGGGAATTCACCCAAATCTTAAGTTTCAAAAGAGCAATTTATCATTTAGAGGAGCCAAAAATTGCCCGAAGCAACTGAGATCCATAAATACCACTTCACTCTGACATCCAAGACCCCTGTTGCATCAAAGACACAACGAAGCGATCAGTGCCAGCTGCCTCGGTGGCAGCCTCCAGACCGTGAGCCCAACCATTGGCAGAGCTCATCCTTCTTGGTAACTGCAGCACAGCTGTCAAAGAGGCCTCTCACTACCTGAAGAAGTCATCTGTGGTTCAGAGGGAAGTTCAGTGCCAGGCTGCAGCCCAGGGTAACAAACCCCTCTTCATCTGGAAGAGAATGCTCTTTGTTTCACACGCTTCCCTGCTGGAAAGCTTCCTTTCAATAGCTGTTAATGTATTGTTCACAGGCCACTTCATTATGCTGCTGACACCCTGGGGTACCATACCAGAGAAGTACATTATTAATTGTTTTTGGGGTTAAGCTCCTGGTT